CCATGGGACCTCTGGTTCCTTGAGGACCTATGGGGCCGATGATTCCTTGGAGACCCACGGGACCTCTGTTTCCTGGAGGACCGGTTGGACCGATGGTTCCTTGGGGACCCATGGGACCTGTGGTTCCTTGATCACCTTGCACACCACGTTCACCTTGTGGGCCGTCTTGTCCATCTTCTCCTCTAGGTCCAATCTCACCTTCAGGCCCGACCAATCCACGTTCTCCACGTGGTCCAACTTCACCTCTGGGACCTTCTGGACCAGGTATTCCTTGATCACCTTTTTGACCGCGTTCACCACCTTGCCCATCAGCTCCTCTAGGTCCAGTCTCGCCTTCAGGACCGATCAATCCACGTTCTCCACGTGGACCAGCTTCACCTCTTGATCCATGAAGCCGACCAAACGCCATCCATTTCAAGCTGAATTTCTTGTACACGATGAGCGTGGTTGCATCGAGATAGAAGTCACCATTTCTCCCTACAGAGTTCAGTGGCATGCCACCTCCGCTAAGCCATCCCAATCCCCGATCACCACGAGGTCCTTTCATCTTGCGCACAGTGTCCATACCAGTTTGCAATCTCGATGATGCTTGTTGGATTTCGTTCCTCACCCATCCAGCAGGGACAGCACATGACGAAGAGTTACTATAGTCAAACGTTACATTACAGATGGAGTGCTGATTCATGTCGAGGTTAGCATCCATGGTCACGGATCCATCTGTTTTCACGTGCAGCTCATCAGCTGCTATGGCTTGATCTGTGTAGCGCGTAGATCTGTTTTCCACATCTTCCACTTTGCTCTCATCGGCTTTCTCCTCCTTCAGTTTCTCCACATCATGAACCAAGGTGTTTTCGGTGTCATCGTTCCCCACAACTGATTGTATTTCGGTAATATCATTCTGCATGCTTTGCATGTGCTTGAGGGAAGTCTCCTCCCCATCACTCCTATGGAAATGCGTAGCCCAGTACGCCATCTTCACACACACACACACACACACACACACACACACACACTGTTCTAATTATGATAGGAAATATTTTCTTTCTCAAATAAATCATTATGATACTCATGTGTGCTAGTGGTAATCTAATGAAGCGATGATATGTTAGCAAGAGAGAGAGAGAGAGAGCAAGAGAGCATGAAAAAAAAAAGGGTTAGGATATAAAGTCTTTCTGATCAATCAATGTGGTAAGATAGACTAAGCATTTAGCAGATTCAAGTCCAGTGAATTGTCCGGTAGGGTGTCAGGGAGAGACGCTGCCGCCGCCACCGTTGTGTCAAACGCAATGTCAGCAGTCACGTTGTCAGCAGTGCTCCACTTCTTGAGGAATGCAATCACCAGTCGAGTCAATTCAGTCTCGGGAAGGTCTTGCACGGTGTCGTGATCCCTTTCACAAAGCCGTGAGTCTACAAACATCAGGGGGATTGCCGAAAGCCATGCCTTGAATTCGCACTTCTCCCTGTTGAAAGATATAGTGGAAGGATGCAGATAGAGCTGACACTCTTCGTTCATCGGGAAGTTGGGTATACCCTTGGTTGGCTTGAGATACAAAGCAGTCACACTCTTCCCTTGGTACATTGCAGGGAAGATGTTACTCCGTATCCTGTTGATATGCGGAGATCTCACGGCACGTCTCAAAGGTGTTGAGGTCTTCAGGAAGAATTGAATGAGATCGTCTTGTGAAGCCTGGACGTACAGCTTAAGTTGACCAAAGCGTCCTTCACATACCGTGCCATTGACAAGCATGCCCGGTAAATCACCGCGCGTATAGTAGAAATCGGTGCCAGGAGCAACATGATAGTCGTGGGCGGTCTTGCTGTACATTGCTTGAACACACTCTGCTGCCCCATCCGTAATAATGGTGGCGACACCTGGCAGTATGGTAGGACGAGGAGATGGCATCTTGATCTTAGGCAGAGGCTCCAGATTCGGATTACGGCTAGCACGTCGCTTGTAGAGACCGGGTTTCTTTATCGTCTTGATAGCGAACGGGTCAATACCCAAACAGTCCACAACATCTTCACCAGCAACAACAGCATCAGTGGCCATCATGATATCAGTCACGAGAGATCCAGAGAGATCCAGAGGGAGAGAGAGAGAGAGAGAGAAGGCTTGAGCAACGAAACAACAAAGGCAGTTGTGAGTGAATGGAGGACTGTGCTTGCACATATATACCCTTTTGACCGCCGCCGAGTTTGAAATAACATCCTATGGGAGGTGACGACCTTGGAGAACACGGTGAAATTGTTCAAGAATCAACCAATCAGAGGACACGGTGAGCAGATGATAAGATTTAACCAATCACAGCACGACTTGCACTTGACCTGTCGGAACATGTCTCGGTCATGACTGAACGTGTCTCGACCATGTCTCAGAACAGGTTCCCGAGAGTGTAAATCTCCAACGCATTGCTAACGTTGATGACGTACTGCAGTCTTGGTAAATTGATAGAGTATGTTGGCAAGATCAGGTGGTAGAGAGGTCACGTGATCTACTAAATAATCCAGACTGTAGTCATGCCAACAATAGGCATCTATTAGAAGATGCATCATGGACAGGTCTGCAGGTGACATCAAGGACAAATTAACTTTCAGAGTGTTCAGCTGTCTAGCGGACAGAGGACCCTTGATGTGTTCCATGAGATGTAGAAGAAACATCAGTGGAAAACATGATGGAAGAGGTTGTGTAATGCGGCTGCTTCTCAACCATGATACATTACTGCGCGGTAAAGAAGAACGCAGTGTGCGCACTGCATCATGATCCTCATGAAGTATACACGATAATGCTATTGCATAGTTCATGCTTTTATAGCTACTGGACTTCTTCATTGCTTGCAGTGCCTCTTGAACAGGGTGAAACTGTGCATGCGGTAAAATGAACTCGATCTTGTTGAGAAAATGAACAAGATGACGATTCACACCTTGAATGCGATCGGAATCCGTGTAGGTCTTTATGCTAGTACAACGCTCTCTCCACTTTACCTCGGGCATGTAAATGTCCGCCATTACCAATCCACACTGAGAACAAACTCTATGACCAGCATGCTCAACTTGTTCTTCACGATGATAACACACTTCTTCACTTTCCTCTATCTCCTTCTTCTTCTTCTTCTTCTTCTTTTCCTCCAGCGCACATTGCTTCTTTGAACGTACATAAGCATACAGGATCTCAAATTCAGAATCCATTTTCACTGCACCACAACAACTTGAAACTGACTGGATCATCATTCAAGAACACACCTTTTATACTTACATAATCATGACACCATATTACCTTATTGTTTAGGGTAGAGCATAACACCCCAATACATATTTTCAATAATACCCCCTTTTTTTTGAGGTAGGGGCACCCCCTGGCACATATTTTTATCCGCAAAAAAACCGGGCCAAAAATAATTTTCACCGCAAAAATGGGGTACTATTAGTACCCCATTTTTCAATAATACCCCATTTTTTGGGACCCGGGCGCCCCCTGTCCCAGAACCCGCTCGTTACTTCCTACTACCAGACCACGGCCAACATCCTGCCAACACCAGGCAGCAGGCGCGGATGGCGGCCGGCCACCGCTACCAGCTGCAGTCTGATATCCCAGCCAATTCTCGCAACAACGTCCGCCGGTCGTTCCCTGAAGGAGTGCTGGACACCTGGAACCAGTTGCCTCGCCAACACCTCCTGGATCAGCCCGACCAGAAGAGGTTGCAGTCCTTCAAGTGCAGCGTCCACCGATTCCTGCGCTCGCTCCACTGGGACTGGGCGACCGACCGGCTGTAGGGACTCGGCGTGGTGGTTTTCTGGACGTTACTGTGAGAGAGTGAGTCTGTGCACAAATATTATGTATGATTACGCGTCTGCGTGAATGTGCCCGTGTGTGTCTGTGTGTACGTATGTGTGTGTGTGTGTGTGTGTGTGTGTGTGTGTGTGTGTGTGTGTGTGTGTGTGTGTGTGTGTGTGTGTGTGTGTGTGTGTGTGTGTGTGTGTGTGTGTGTGGTGTGTGTGTGGTGTGTGTATGTGTGTGCGTGTGTGTGTGTGGTGTGTGTATGTGTGTGTGTGTGTGTGCGTGCATGAGTGTGCGTGCGAGCATGTGTGTGTGTGTGTGTGTGTGCGTGTGTGTGTGCGCGCGCGCGCGTGTGTGTGTGGGTGTGTGGGTGGGTGCACATGGTTGGTATGTGGTGTTTATGTGAGCGTATGATAATAATCTCTTCAATAATACTAATATCTTTATTTCAAGATTACCCAACGCCGGCGAACGCCCTATCAGGTTGATCTCCTATTTGAACATGCGCATATGTGTGTGTATGATGTGCCCTAGCTCACTTATAATATTATTATTATTATGTTATACACGTAGATCATGTCCATGATGCCTTTCCTCTGCGCTGGTCTACCGCACTATTGTTTTTAAGATTAACATCATTATTACTTCTGCATATGCATTACATACTATGATCATGCTGGCTTCATCCCTTATCTCCTAAGCTACCACCCCCCACCCCCGGTGCGTCTGCCCAGTGTTGACTCCGAGACCCACGGTCGGACGAGCTGCCCAGGCCTCACCACCACTGCCGTTTCCGTGCTGCCTTCTCGATACATACGTACACTGTATATCATGTGCACATTCACATGTCTGAAGGTTTGTGGTTTTCAATAAAAAAATAAAAAATAAAAATAAAAAAACAGATGGTGGTGCTACCACAGCCATCCCTACCTAGGTGGTGCTACCACAGCCATCCCTACCCAGGTGGTGCTACCACAGCCATCCCTACCCAGGTGGTGCTACCACAGCCATCCCTACCTAGGTGGTGCTACCACAGCCATCCCTACCCAGGTGGTGCTACCACAGCCATCTCTACCTAGGTGGTGCTACCACAGCCATCCCTACCCAACAGGTGGTGCTACCACAGCCATCCCTACCCAGGTGGTGCTACCACAGCCAGCCGCAGTTTAGACCGGGTCAACACGAGAAACCAAAGACCTGGTAAAGACTGCTGCCGACAACCTAC